TGACTCAAAGTTTCTAGTAAAATTTCTTACAGTTGATGATTGACTTATTCCTTAACAATTAATATAAAGTATAAAGATCAAATGTCTCATTTTGAATGAATGGATGTATGAAGGGTAGGCCTTCTCGGCCTTTGCACCACGACCTCAGTGGCCTATTGTGCTTCCCCTTTTTTAATTATTCCCTCAGCAACCCTGCGCTTCGAACGAAGCAGGATTTTGGCTGTGGGGGCATCAAAATAGTCACTTGGTTCCATAGAGTATTGACCCAAGTGACGTAGTGCTGTAAATTTCGTAGAGTCTGCAATGTTTCAGGTTTTCATGGCGGCGATTGTTCAGGATGTTGCCTTCTGTATTTTATCACAGTGTATTATTGTAGACGAATACCGTCGTTTCGGAGAAATATTCTGCCTCTCTTTTCAGTGTCAAAGTGAGTGAGTGCGGTCAGCTCATATGATTATATCTCAGGGAAGGTGGTCAATAAGGACCGTATTATGCCGTCATGTTATTGGCCCCGACCGGGCGTCATCTCCAGCCCGCGTCCCTTTCCTTACAGTCTACTACAGGGTGAATCGTATAGAATCGGCCCGATGAATTTGCCAATAATTCCGCAACCGCTCACAATTACGACACAATAATCCGTGGGCCGTGCTGAGTCGAATGGTGTGCGCATGATCCGGCAAGTGCTGCAAGGTCAAGGACAATGTTGAAACGTGTCTGCAGTGCGCAGGCGACAGTCATGGAGTACACTGTTGAACAGCGAGTGTTTCTAGTGCCTACTTGAAAACGGCGGACACTTTAAACACCTGCTCTGATCACGGCACACAATCCAAGATAAGATATGTGTAAATTACATTAACATCTGTATGGTATATTTTACATTACACCTCATTTCGTCGGGCCGGTTCTATATGAATCACCCTGTAGTATAAGCTGAATGCATATTCACTTTAACCAACTCGACCCCGAAGATGAATGCAGCATGTTCTTCTGAAATATTAGTACTTTCTGCTGGATTCTTAAATGTGTATTCCAACACCTCTAATCCGCGGACCAACCTACGGTACTGGAGATCTATCACTGGTCCTCACTGGATGTCTAAAAAGGTAAAGTTGTCCCTTTGCTTAAATAATTAAGCACTAAGACATGAAGGCGTATAGGGGAGTGGATATATAGAGTCACATTTTCTTGACCTCGGCACTAGTTAGAGGTGAGTGGTCAGCTTCACGCTTCGGCCGCTTTACCTCCGGGAAAGAGCCCCCGTTACCCAGTTGTATAAGAGGCTGGGTGGACCCCGGTCTGGACGACGTGCAGAAGAGAAAATTCTTGACCCTACCGGGACTGGAACTCGTCCAGCCCGTAACCAGTCGCTATACCGACTACGGTATCCCTGCACTTCACTGGATGTCTAAGGAGTGCAAATGGTTTATACGTACTTGTGGGCGGGGTGACTTTTCCCAGGGAATAAAGCCACTGCAGTAAGAAACTGAACACTCGCCTCCACCTACAGTAGAGGTTAAACCCTGAGAATCTGAACGGGGAGAGAGAGAGGAGAAAGAAGAAAAGAAAAAATGGGCAAAGCAGTGAAAGACATTACATTCAAGGGAGGGGCAAGACATTTCTTTCTCCGGTTTTGAAGGTTCCCGTGCAGTGCTCGCTCTTCCTTCTCATATAGGTAATTTCGAGAGACGGTAAAACTTCAGGAAGTGGAAAGGTAAATTACGAGCACACAAAGATTAATCGTTCGGTCGGGTAAATTGATCTAGTTTGATCTGGTAAATTGCTGCTGGTCCTCGCCAGCACATTGATTCTGGTTTCCGAGTCCCACGAGACTCAAGATCATAGTTCTGGGAGCCTTCAGTGGGTAAATTAAATTTCTTCTAAACGATATATATATAAATTTGGTTCGTACCTCACAGCAAACATATTACATCTCCACTAGAAAGATCAACCGGTTAAAATTGTTTAGGGAAATAATCGCTGACCATTCTTGACGTAGGCACTAGCTGGAGGTGGGTGGTTAGCTTCACGCCCCTGTCGCTTTTGCTCGGGATAAAGAGACCCGGTACCCATTGTATAGGAGGCGTCAGTGGGCCCCATAGTCAGTCTAGACGTTATGGAGAAAATAAAAATCTTGTCCCTGTCGTGAATCGAACCCTGGCCGTCCAGTCTGTAGCTCGTCGCTATACGGACTAAGCTATCCCAGCTCCTTATAACTTTTGGTAGTAGGCTTTATGATACAAATATGGTGATATTACACAATTCTGAAGTGACAGCGAAAAAACATCTGTGTATACAACATATCCGCATTAGTACCATCAGATATTATTGCGACTACAACTACCTGCTTGGAAATATAATAATATGGTAAAGTCTTAACTGTATATTAATTATGTAACTAGTTTCATTTTAAGACTTTTACTTTCATTGTCATTTTATATTTTATAATATTGTATACTATCTGGAAAATCTAATACTACATCGTGTAATTAACACGTAGTTCAATAGCTAAAGAAGTTCTTAAGTGTATTTAATTGATGATGGCTTCTTGAAAGCCGAAACATGTAGTAAAGTACTACTTGAAACTACAGACATATACTATTAGATGAGTTGTGACGGCTTTCAATAAAGAAAAAAACATCTGTTGAATTGCCATCGGTTTTTGTGTATTAGAAGATAAAGAGGTGTTAAACTCATGTTAAGAACATTTCTGTGCAGACTGTAGAATTACAACATGGCTACAGAACAAAATCTCTATATATACTATACTCTTCCATTTCATTTTATGGACAATAAACTATTTTGACGTAGCGATAAATTTGATACGGAAAGCGAAAATTAGTAGTAAGTTATTTGCGTTCTAAATTACGTACAAACGACGAGTATAAAATCTGTAGACTGTATCGGAAAAGCGAACTGGGGGAAATTTACTGACGTAATTGATCACTGACGTATGTAACCATTAATTCATAACGATTACAACCTTCAATTTCGAAAGTAACTGCGAAAGGAAGTCCTCATAATTTAAAACAGAAACTTATTTCCTTGTAGCTACTTGTTTTATGCTTATCTATTTTGTTTATAATGTTACACGCAAATGAGCCTGTAACACTTGAAGTGACTAAGTAAGAGCGCTGCTCGAATATTTCTTTCTTCGTACTGCAGGGGGGGGGGAAATAGTCCATCTCTGTGATTCTCCTGGGCTTTTCATATTTTGTTAAACATTGCGGATTGTGAATCTCAGCGAGCCCCTCTCAGCGATAACAGGTCTCGTACGATCCCAAATCATCGGAATGCAGATCTCTTGAATATTATCAGTACATCCAGGAGGGCAAGTAGCTCAGTATGGCGGCGTTTGGAATATGCTTGACGATGGCACGTGGAATGGAATGGAGAAAGGAAAATAATAAATAAGTGAATATATAAGTAAAGGACGAAGCAAACAAACAAAGAGAAAAAAGAAATAAACATATGAAGAAAGAAAGAATATTTCCCAATACTAATTTTGACTTCAAAGGTTTGGTCCAACATTTATGACAGTGATTTTTTTTCCAGACGAAACATACTCACGGTATCCAGTCTCAAGAATCGTATACTATTATATTTCAGCATCCCGCTGTATTGGGGCACCATTTTTATTTGTAAAATTATTCCGTCTATAATGCAACAAAATTAATCCTATCTTAAAAGACACTAAATTATATTTAATTCACAAAAAATTGATTGTTAAATATGTTAAAATGTCATTAACTATGTATATACATTCTTTGTTCTCGTTGCAACATGTTTCGACAGCACATGGGCCATCATCAAGCAACACTTATTATCTGGGGAGACCAGTGTACTTTGTTGTTGCTTTTGTTGTTGTTGTTGTTGTTAATTTGCTTTGTAGGACATTTTCATTCTATCCCTTTTAGCTGCAGTTTCAGTGTTCCCCTTTTGTATCGTTCACTTCAGTTGTGTATGTAAGAGTGCTGTATATCCCTTGTACATCTCTTTTGGCGCCCGTTTCAGTTGTTTCAGTTTCAGAGGAACACTGAAACGGTCGCTTTGTTGCTTAAGATGAAAATGTCCTACAAAGCAGATTAACAACAACAACAACAACAACAACAACAATAACAATGTGCCTGAGAGTACTAAGGACAAAGTGTACAGTGCAGTGGTCTCCCCAAATAATAGTGTTGCCTGATGATGGCCCATGTGCGGTCGAAACATGTAGCAAGAACGAGTGAACATACGTGTAGTTGTAAGATTTGAGGCTTTCACGACGGTGACTATGAAGAAAGCAGTCTTCTGGGATTTGGCACCGTGTATATGTGGTGTTAACCGACGTTTCGGAGGAACGTATCGCCTCCATCTTCAGGGTAGAAGAAAAAATATAAGAAATCTGCAAGCGAGGAGACCGTGAGAACCGGTAAAAGCAGACTGATTTGTGGTGGCCAAAGTGGCGTTTGGGCAGGTTTTCTCCGAGTACTTCGGTTTCCACTGCCAATCTTCATTCCACCAATTGCTCCACAATCACCCTCACCTATCATCTGGGGCTGGTACAATAGGTCAGAATTGGCCGCAGTACAAGGGACTTAGTCCCACCCCACTAGCAATAAAAAAATATTTAACACGTAACAAACACTTTTCAAAGAATTAAATATATTTTAGTGTCTTTTAAGAAAGGATTAACTTTGTTGCATTACAGACAGAATACTCGTATTTTACAAATTAAAAACAATAAATCGTATGCTGTTTGAGCATCCAGGAGAGCTTATCCATTATTCACTGTCAGTTTTCTACAAACTGTAAACCTGAAACATCCCGAGTCCTAAGCACAGCTTTTTAGCAACCACAGTATCCAGTATTTGTCCGTCTTTCGCCGAATAGTTTATCTGGCGGTGTCCCTTCAAGTCCTAGCTATTAATAACCTCATGCGAATTCAGCAACGCAATTGATATCTTGTGAGTCAATCAATCACTCTTCCTTCGATGCTTTCAGCCGAATATGGTACTCACCCATCCACTAGAGGAACTTCTCTCAGCATGGTGTGAACAGCTGACAGATGATCCAAATTATGATAACCGTGGCGCAGCCTGGCGGTAAGCGGAAGCACTACACCGATCCCTGTGAGGGTGAGTAAGACTAGTAGCATGCATGCCAGGCACCAGGATCGAGGTGCGGAGCCTGGAAAGCAAACAAAATAGACCTTAATATCAGCATTCTTGAGTGCTCATCAGTACGACTAATTAAGTACCTGGTACATGTGTTTCTGTAATGGAACACTAAATCCACCACCTTCATCACAAAAGCTATTAAATGCATCGAACCCTGAGGCAACTCAGTAGAGATCACCTTACAGGATCAATTTTCATAGTGCTGTTCCATCTAAGCCTAACTCTGTGTAGTTTTTATTCCATGATATTTTCCAAAAATAAAGCGTTCATGCCTTACATCACTCATGAGTGCTCCGAACTCCGTGGCCTGTAGTCCGCAAGCGAACCATGCCGATCGAGCGACCGCCGCTTGTCGGCGAAGTTAGTGTCAGCTTTTGTGGATAGAGGGTGTCATATGATCAGTGGTGCAGAGCCCCACGGCCGTTAATCTCGGTTTTATGGACCGGAGCCGCTATTTCCTTCAAAGAGCTCCTCAATTATCTTCACGAGGCTGAGTGAACCCCATTCCAGACCCACTACTTCTCAGAAACACTTCATGTTAGGATCTACGGAATGTACAGTGGCCCCTGCATCAAAACCGTGACTGTCTTCTTGTTCACCCTACTGCTTTCTTAATATCTTTAGTTTATAACCCGAATATTTGAGGTGCCAGCTTGTTGAGATACTTCTCCACCTACAATAATATTTACTGCAACTGGTTCAGCTTCACCAAATGCCATCGTTTTGGTTTTTCGACAATATTATTAAACTGTACTTTCCTACAGTCCAATTTAATTTATAGACAACTTGTAATTTGACTTCAGACTCGGCAATAATTACCAGAAGGTGGTGTGAGTCCAACAATTCTTCTATTGTTGCTTGTGTATTGTTTGCCGGGGTAACGTTTATACCGAGCCTTTGCCTGGCAACGATAAGGGAATACACAACCCCACACAGACTGATGGGAGAGATTTATAAAGACGCCGCTGAGATAGCCTAAGTGTCATGATATACATACGAAGTTTCATAAAGATTGCTTCAAACATTCAAAAGTTAATAAAGGGAAGGGTTACATAGACACACAGAGAGTATGGCGATCACATAAGCCTGTTTCTCTTTTTTAATAAGCAGAGTAGACTAAAAATACATTTCGAGTAATTTCAGCTGTCTGCAAATAATTTTACCTAAATAAAAATTAAATAATAAGGGTGGAAGTGGGTGCCGTCGATGTACACATCTATTTACCTATGCTGCCATTTTGTGATGGATTATGACTGAAACGTCCAAACACGCATCCCACAAATTACAGTCAGTAGCATTTAATGAGCTCGTGAAGCGAGTAAACAATGGAAATCATACCATTCAGTTATCTTACTGCAGACGCGACGCGACGCGACTCGAAGCGACGCTCCAGTGCGTGTAAGGGGTAAATGGAGGTGCACATGAGAAATTTCAGTTATGAACCGCATCGTCCGTAATTCAAGGAAAGCAAGACATTTTGTTATTTATCTAGAAGATTCCTCATGAAATTGCATTCTTCTTCTGCAAATGAGTTTCATGTTCTGTTGCTTCCCTCTTTGTTACTTAATGTCAGACGCCACTCATGTTGGCTTTTCCATTGTGATTCTTAATTACAGAGGTTAGAGGCAATAATAGTCTTCTAAGAAGAAGCTGGAAGAGGAATTCTGTGGATTTGTGTCACTGAAAGTCGATTTTCATCCAGACACAAAATGTTAATATTTGTGTAATTTGTGTGTATTGTAAGAGGCTTCATGTTTTTATGGTTCCAAGTATTAAAAGAAACTGCGGGATGCTATGTACTGAGCAGGAGGTTCAGTTTTGTGGGTCTTGACACGCAAAAAAAAAACAAACCTTTATTGGGACTGTCCTTTGAATTGAGTTGAATGCCCTATTTTTTTATATCTCTATGTTTCGGGAATTGGCTTTGTTTCCATCATCAGGTGAATAATAACGTCTTCCTTTGTCCTTATGGAGAATCAATCTCAAACAATAGACTTGCTGGAACAATGGAAAAGACCCAAACAACGACCTTAATGAATGTATCACACTGTAATAGACGGTTGCAAAGAAATCTGCATATAACGGGACCCGAAGTGACCAGTACTTTTCCCCCACTCTGGCACATTATCTGTTCAACAAACACAGGGGAAGTAGCTTAAGTCGCAACATCAATGTTTAAGGTAAAAGCATAATCATTTTTGCTACCTGCAGACTTTACTGTAAATTACAATGATGATCCATAATTCTTCACAAATACACGTAGTATATTTTTGACAATTTAGAAATTAATTTGCGGCGAAAATAACTAATTCGGTTTATAATATGTAATTCTTCATCATGTGTCGCGAAATTTTTTAAAAATCAAGGTAACAATTCTCTTTTTAATGATGATTTCTGTGTTATTCAATTGTATTCTATTGCCTTCAGTCCAGCAATGTTTCGCCATTTTAAAATTGAATATTCTTTTAATTTCTTTTATGTTCGGGGGTCGTTGCGACAAGCAATATTCTTGTCGCTCCCCTTTGTTTTTCCAATTTCCATGTGATGTAGGCGTAATTATATATTTCCTTATCGAAGCAGTGCCACGTCTTGAATTGAATACCAGACATCCAGAGAAAAGCGAGAGTAACTCGTAGAACATTAATTTCTTAATATTTTTTCCCACTGCCTGGTTTGCTATATTTCTCCAGGCACACCCCGCGATATACAGTAAGCTGCAGTATAATTAGGCATACTGGTTTTGCTCAGTGCCTCCACAGAGTGTAGGTCCAAGGGGAGTTGGATTACTGTCATTATCAGTGAGTTCAGGAACATGATATAGGTATTGCACCAATTCACCACTGCAACTAGTTTAGAACTCGAGCCTGATCTTGAGTTACTTCTTCTCTCCTGTTGCGCACGTCTCTCACTGTTCTAACATTAACCTTCAAATTGAAATGCCCCATCTAAGTTCTTGTATGCTTCAAAGCCCCTTCCACCTACAGACATTGCTTCATGAACTGGATGTGTGTAAAGAGGCTGGCGAAGTCGAAGTTCACCAAGGTGTTATTTCTTTGAGATCCCAGCCCCCTAAACTTAGCTATGAAGTTTTCTGATTTTTTCATGACTGAGTTCGTATTTCACGAGAGAGGAGAGAGAACGCTGAGTATGTATATATATATCTTCTAGTGGTTGGCACGGAGATTTGAAACTTCGCAGCTTTCGGTCGCTGCAGCAGTTCCAGATCTGGCAGCTTTCGGATATCATAAGGCCCTTGTCACTTAACATGGGTTATATTTGGTTCCTATGCCAGAGTACGAGGCTTTTATCTCAGGGTTGAGCGGAAACTGAATGTAACGACGGGAGACTTGGTTCCCGATATAGTTATTCATATAAATGAAACGGAAGTAGGTAACTTATTTTAGTGCCTGCATATTTATTTCGCACAACAAAATCCTCTACTGAATTATATACACAGGTTTTACCATAAATTCGAAACACTGAGTCATTCAGTGACATTACGTAATACGATACTCCGCTCTCTTCAGCCATTTTTTTTTCCTTGGCACTACAGCCCCAGTGGGCCTAGGCCTACCTCCATGAACTTCTCCGGTCACTTCGGTTTTTCTAGATCTTACACATTCGGTAGGTCTCCTTGGGCGGATGATCAGCTCGTCGCAAGGCCTCTACCTGTACACAAACACAGAAAAACGCATACACATACTAAACATCCATGCCCTGAGTGGGATTCGAACCCACGATCCCGGTTTCCAAGCGAGCGAAGACAGTACATGCCTTAGACCGCTCGGCTACCGTGACCGGCCTCTTCAGCCATTACTACTCAACTATTTCCTGAACTGCAAAATCTAACGGCAGGTTCATATGTCGGTTGAGTAGCAATACAGATCCTTCCTAGGCATGAATTGTCTGGTGAGCTAACTAACAAACCAACCAACTCCATGGAGCTCAATCCTTCTTGAGAAACCGCCCGTCGCTCAGCTATTCAACAAATTCCCAACATTTTATGGAACACAAAAAATTCTTTACCATGTTCGCAAGAACCCTCCATTGGTCCCTATCCTGAGTGAGAAATTCAGTCCATTTGCTATCCTCTTTCTCCAAGATCCATCTTGTTATTTTCCTTTAACCTACATTCAAGTCTTCCTAGCGGTTTCTTTCCTTCTGGACTGGCGACCCTTCTACAATTTGAAGTTAAAACCACAACACAGTTGGGGCATTCCTTCTGTTAAGGAACTGATCAACAAGCCGGGAATATATGTACCTCAATTTACAGAGCACAGAACTCTCTTGAGCTATTGGCCAAAGATAATTAGCCTACTAGCCTAGTATTCAAAAGTTTCGGGTCTGATCCCAAACGTCGCCACTAATGTCAAAACAGAAAACAAAGAAAATCTGTCAGTATAATTGCAACCAGTCACTTGAAGACGGGATTTGAGCCAACTCTCAACTCTTCGTATGAAACATATATCCTTCACTAGACAATGTCCAACATAGAGTAATATTTGTATAAAATATATTTAAGAAATTAGATACTTTAAGGAAGATCTATGTTATGCAGTACATGTTAACACTACATTAACCTGCAGTGGTATCTGCTCCATCTGAGAAGTTAGCAACACTGTCATATTGCTATTCCTGGTTATAGGAAACTGAAAAATATACAGGTTGTGTGGTCTTTAATGAAAATCCATGAAAAACAAGGAGGCGGGCGAACCCACGGACATAATGATATAAGTCTGCCTTCAGTTATGAAATGAGGTTGAATGACTCCCCGTGAGCATCTGCGAAGAAAGAAACCTCTTCCGTCATTTCAGTTCTGCCCGTCGATATGTTCTGACATGTCTTGAAATGAAAATTTGGATATTCAACCCCGGAAAGAAATTAAACGCGGAAATTATAGAAGTCCCATTTCCCAGAAGCTACAGAGGTCGGGTTTTCCCCCATTCAGCTTCCTCACTTCGCTTATTGCATATTTCAGCAGAAGGAGAGATAGCGTCTCCATGGATATTA